CTGGCAGCTCTGGAAAAGTTTTCCTCTCTGCTTGATGCCATTCCTTACTGAAAACCAGGATGAACTCTGTGTAACAACACACAGAACAACAGATCACCAAATTACTTGAAGCAAACAAAGGTTTTGGTGATACAGGTTGCTTTAAAAATATACTTGTGCCTTCAATGCAAGTACAGTTCTCACATACCCTCTTTCCATCTGTCTAGGGACATATTCTAAACTCATAAGAGATTGAATCATTACTCTTTTAGGGGATCAGGTTTCTCTCTGAGAAATTTGTGGGAATTAAGACAGAAAATGCTTGAACAATACCCTTGTTATTACTGGAACATTTCTTAACTGTGATAGTTCGGAGAAATCTTAGCAGAGTGTTATCAGAAGTGTAAAATGAGTCCAGGTAAAACAGCTTTTGCAGAGAAGGTACCAAATGTTTTTGGATTTCCTGTCATGGCGCATGCTTTCAAATTTTGTAGGGGAAATCAAAGAGACTGGGAGGAAAGAACCACCAGCCAAATACTTCTGGTGTTTATAACAGGTGTACAGAAGGTATATAATTTGCTACAGCCTTTGCAAGCTTCATTAGTATACAAAGACAATGACCTAAAATAAGCAATGTTTTTAGAATTATATTGCCTCATTTTTCAAAGCTTTGGTGAGGTTGAGCACTTTTAACCAATTTGGCAGGAGAGCTTTTAAATTTAGTAAGTTCCCTGAAGTTTTATGAGCCATTGTATGGGCAGGGAAGAGAGTTCCTAGAGTGAGTGCTGGAGAAGTCGCCTGTGGATATGTTTGATGTTGCCCAGGCTGATCCTGATGAGGTTTGAGAAAAGCTGCAGGGGCTTCTCCCAAGAAGCACACTGTGCCACAAGAAACATGGGAAAGTAGAGTAGGAGTAGCTAAGGATGTGAGTCTGAGGGCAAGAATATGACTTCTCTCCTTCCAACAAGATTGTTCTATGCTGCTAATGAAGCAATCTTTAAACCAGCTTTTTGCAACAGCTCACTAAAGAGCTGTTCTCTCCTAACTACTATTTAACAAAGTGGAAATCTCAATTTTCTTCTTCTGTATGAAGCAATGGACCTGTCTTTCTGTCTGCACCACAGCTTTCTTCTTTAATACACATCACCCAAAGCTCATCTGTGTGCTTCCTTAAAACCCCTTGCCTACCTTCATGTTACCTATTATCATAATCTCACTTATTTGAAATGGTTGGTCTCTGTAGTTAAATTTTATCTTTATCCCCTTAGGGATCTTATCTGTCCTACACTTGTGGCCCCACTTCCTCTTCTGGTGAGCCCCTGGAGTGCTTTATGTCTTTCCATGGAACTGTTTACAAGCTGCTTTTGAGGGCACAGCTGTCACTATAAGACTAAAATTGAATCCAAAATCAACTAAATATAGCTGTTCCACAGGGAACCATCTTTACTGATAAGGCCAATAAATTACAGGAAAAAATAGAGATCTAGAACATAAGTCCTGTACAGCCAAAACCTGAACAATGGCTAAAAAAAAAGAAAAGGTTCAATACAGCCAGGGAAAAAATCCAACAGTGTGGCAAACAAAGCAGTGCTGTTCAGGCAGATTTGCCTTTCCTCATATCTAGGTGAGATGCAGCCTTGGCTTTTCCCTGCAGGAAGGCAGGGTTACTGCTGTGTGCACACTGAGGGTCACAAGGAAGTCAAGGCTAGAGTGAATAATATGCCACACCAAATTCACCACTAGCTGTGCCAATAATGGGCATACAACAAAGGAATCGCACAACTCCTCTCCTTAATTCTTGATTTAACACTGAGATCCTGTGATGAAGTAAACTCTACAGTTTCCCCCTTGTTTAATGGAATTTGATAGGGGGCATGAGAACAGTAAATGAAGAGCCAGCTTTATTTCTATAGCTGCCATTTTCAAACAGTATGGAAATTACAGCGCTGCAATGATTTCGGTGAGTTGTGGAAAGCCAAAGATCAGAAAAGGGATCGTAATAAAGGTTCCAGATAAGCACAACAAGATACAACTTAGCATGAAGCCAACAATTCAAATACTGACTTGGGATAAGAAAAATTGAATTACTATGTTTAACTTTAAAAGTAGGCACTTATTTGCATATTGTTAATATTAGTGTGAGATTTAGAAGATGAAAACCCATTGTGCTGTCCTCTCTTTGTTAACCTGCAGAGTGAGAAGGATGCTGGGGTTGAAAGGTAGATATTATTTTGCATTCATCTTGATGATGTAGAGGTCACACACATATCTTTAAGTCATTAACATCAGGGAAATAAGATTTTACACCAAAAAAAGAGAAAAAAATCAAAATACTAGCAGGGGAGCTTACAGACTCATTTCATACACAGTTTTGCATGGGACCTAGCAAGTACAAATGTTGTTCCCAAAATTAGAAGTCAAGTACCTTGACTTTCATCTCACTTGATTCCTCTTCAAAATACTTTCTGACCTTCTGTTTTAAAAATCTTTTTCCTCCTCTTCCTGAATGACAGAATGTTATATAATCATTAGGGTTGGAAAGAACCTTTAAGATCATCAAGTCCAACTATCATAGAAAAATAATATTCCAGAATTTAGGGAAAATGACAGGCTGCTCCCACATTCAGTGCCTGCCCTGATCCAAAATTAGATCCACTGGGAATGTCCATCTTTTCCACTTTCTAATTTGAAGACCTGTCAATAGAGTCAATAAGTGCAAGGAGCTCTAAGGAAGCTAGGCACAATCAGGAAGTGTAAACCTATACCACAGTCAGATACTTAGATGCTGGGGCTGGAGGTCCAAATAGCATTTATGAGCTTCTATCAAAAGCTTTTAACTTGGCCAAACTTGGATGGATTTTATTTTTTCTCTTGAAATAGCACAGGATTCCTCCTTGACATGTGCTCCTCCCATTCTCTCATTTTGTTTTATACATAAGGTCTGCTCTGTGAGACACAGAAAATTGTTACCATAATTCTTGGTAAATAGCTAGAATTAGCAGAGCTTTAAACACATACTCACACTCATAAAAAAAAATCCAAACTCAGCCATGCACTGGGCATGGAATATTTAAGCCCAAATGATAAACAATTATGTGCCTTATGAGAAAGGAGTGATGAACAAGCAGATTAATACATTTTAATATTGCAAGCTTTGGCATTAACCATTTCAGATTATGCTTTATCTCTTGTGTTCACTTATCTGTTATGAGACTGGTTAAGTGGGAAAGGCAAATGACATTTTATTCTAGGAGGGTTTACACCTTAATATCTGAAATGCAGGATGCTTTTGAAGAGTGTTTAGTACATACTGGCAAACAGTATAAAACACCATCTGTTTCTCTGTAACTTCATATCAAATATTATTAATATTGTGAAATAGTAATAATAAGGGTTTTTTCCTTCATTTTGGTTCATCATCATTAATAAAATGTATGTAGGTCAAACTAGATTTTCATTGACAATTGCATAACCTTACAGACTTGCTAGTGGCTAAAAATAAGTAATTATTCTCCCACACTTTGTTGGGTTTTTTTGGTTTTTTTTTTTTTTAATGAAGACCTAGGAAAAAGCAAGTTTTCAGCATATTCTTGGCTGGACTTTTAGAGATGAAAAGATAAAACCAGCAAGAACTCCTGTATTAGTAAAGGAAGCTATTAATCTACTAAGCCACAGAATTTATCAAATGAATGAGCTGAATATGAAGGTGAAAGAAAGATGGGTATTTCAGATAGTCTGAAATGTGGTATTGCTATTGATTGGTGCTGCTGGAAACGGCTGCACCAAATGGTGCAAAGGCAGTGGAGATGGTGAATAATTAGACATTGCTAAGGTATAATTTCTTTGTTTTAGAAGCGATAGCACAGAGGCAAAGGGTAGGAATGAGCTGAAAGTACTTTACTGGGTATATATTTCTGTGTAGGTTAATCAAGAATTGTTCTTCCTAATAAAGTCTCTGGAGGTAATCTTGCTGATCTGCACAACACTCTGTGCATAGTAACAGTGAGACTCAAGAGGGCCAATGCACCCTGTGCCGCTTTCAAGCCTCCAGGTTTTTGTGTTACTCAGAGAACATGGCTTCTTATATAGCCTGGCCAATCAAGAGATTACAGAAACTCTCCCCATTACTGTTTAGGAAGTGAATTTTCTGCAGAAATGAAAACAGGATGTAAACTAGCACATGTTCTGCAGCACAAAATGTGCTTCCCCTGAAGATCCCCGGTGGGAGTGTACACAGCTTTGGGCCAGAGGGAAGCCTGATAGATGGAGTAGTTAGTTCCCCTTTCTCTTCCCAGTTTCTCTGTAGGAGGGCAAAGCTTTGAGGAGTTATCTGTCATGGTAGATGCAGTGGGGAGGAAAGGAGATGTGGAAAAGGTGTTTATTGTAAGAACTGAGTGAACATACATATTATCTCTAGCAGTACAGCATCCCATTTCCTCTATTCAAATATTTATTAACATTACAACAGAGCCACAGATGTTCAGTTTAATGTTTGTGTAAGGAAATTAGAAGGCTGGAGTCAATAATCTTCCAATTCACAAGTTTTAGGGAAACAAGGATAGTGGAGAATGAAGACAACATTAGGCTAGTACAAAAGAGAGTATGAAAGTGCACACGAGCAACATTCCAGGAATCTCATGCAGAGCAAGAAATTACCTTGAAGTTCTTGGGGCTCTTTCTATTCCACTGAAGTAATTGAAACAGACATGGAGAAGTATCTGACCTCCTTGACCTACAGGTGGCTTGAACCTTGCTATTACTTCAGCTAGTGGGGATCTACTGACATGAAGTTCATGAGAGGTGCGGTAACATGGTCATGGTTCAGAAAGAAAAGAGATTTCTGCAACAAGGAAGGGAATTGAGATCTTCAGGGGTGGCACTGATGGTCAAGGGAAGGACAAAGAGCAAAACCCAACAGAAAAAGTAGAGAGCACATGTGTAAGTGACCTGATGAAGGTAAAAGCAGGATTCTAGGTTCACATTAGTCTACATAAGTAAACAAGCAGTGAAAGAAAACTTACCAGTGCTCCACTGAAGAAGCAAAAGTCTTAAACAGAGCCTGAAACAACTACAAAAAATGGAACAGTTAAAAGTGATGGGTTGGTGTGTGTGAAATCTTGAATTGTTCCTTCATTTTCCACCCTCATCAGTCAGATTCCATTCCTTCTGGTTTTGCTTGGACTCTCTCCCCTTCCCAATAGAATTCCTCTGTGGTCACAAATGATTAGTGAAGTTTCCTTAGTATCAATTCTCTCATGATATGGTCTTCTTTAGATATTGCAGCTGAGAAATGATAACGTGGTAGGATATCATATGTGTTTCTTGTCATTGTTTGGGGTTTTTTATGGGCTTGGGTTTTTAGGGTTTTCTTTTTAATACAAGGCACATGCAGATTATAATATCTCACATTAGTTCTGCTTGTTCCAAACCAAAATATTCAGTACTAGATAGTGGCCTGAACACTGATGCATACAACTGCTTTTGATTCAGTGTCAGTGTAACCGAGAAGAACAAACTCCTCTTCAGAGATGTATATTTACATCATTAGCATGTAGACAAGCCAGCTGAGATCAGCTCACTCTTTCTCTAAATATATGCTCTATACACAGCAAGACCATAAAACGTTTGCAATATGAAGATTAAAGACAATCAGCCCTTAATTAACAGTGTGTTAGGGAGCAGGCTGCAAGTTGAAAATCTGAAATACAAGAAAGTCTTTATTCACAGAGACTGAACTGTGGTTTCAGCACACAGTAAAATTACAGTCTTTTACAAATAGCTGTCTGCCAAATGAGTCACAGTAATACCTACATTGACACTCTTTATCTGGCTGTGTAGTCAGGTAATGCAGCTTAGACAGAATCTGTGTGAAAAAAACAACATAATGTGTCCTGGAAGAAATCTGCTTCCATGTAGAAACACTGATAGCATCAAGGAAACTGAATTGACAAATCATTTTATTGACTCTTCAATGTAAAACTCAAATGAGAACAGAAAGTCTTAGAGCATTAGGGAAACAAATTCTGGTGTTTTCTCTACTGAAACATGGGACTTATTTTGGCAGCACCTCAAGCACAGGCTCTGAAGCTTCCTGAGATACAATATGAATTTTGGGATCAGAAGATGTGTACAGGGAGAACTGAAAGTCATCTTCTAAGCTGAAAACTCCTAAGTAGGTGAAGTTCATTTCACTGGCCAGTGAACAAGGCACACACCATTTTACACTCCACGTTACAAATTTCAGGCCTTTAGAGAAGTGGAGCGTGCAAGGGACTGGGTGGTGAAAATCCAATATGTTTAGCTGGGGAACAGGTGGGCAGAAGCTTGAGTCCAGTCTTTGAAGACTGCCATGCCTGCTTATTTTATGCAGATAAATAATCTTGTTTACTTCACTGAGTACCTGATATGTTAAACTCTGTAAATCTGTGTGTGCAAGTAAAATGCCTTCTGCTGATCCTGCAGGGACTGTCTGCCCCGGTTGTAGAGCAAAGCTGCCTGCAAGCTTGTGTCACTGCCTTTAATCCTCTGTGTGTATATGCATTGCTATGTGACAGCATTGCATCCCTGTGAGCATTCCAAAGCATTTATCCACTTCTGAGTTATTGCTGACCTAATGGTAAGCACAGAGAAATGTGGGGAAATGAGCTGCTGATCTACAGGTTATAGGATTTAACAAATGGGAATTTTCACAGTCAAGTTGCAATAAATATTGTGGGTCTTCAGCAACTGCAGATTGATCTCACTCTGGTGTGAAACCTAGCTGTAATGTATTTTAAAATATCATGAGGTACTATCAGCAGTAATTCTTGCTAAAGTTGCACTGGAAGAGGTGAATAAAGTTTAGTAATTGGGCCTTTACTCAAAATATAAACATATGATTTAACAGATTGCTGGAACAGATTATATACATAAATAAACCTGGATTGTGTTACTTCTTTAGAATGTTAGCTGAGGTTAACAAATGCTGCATGAAGGAAAAGAAATTGCCTGGGATTTCACTGTCAGCAGTTTAAAATGCATTCACTGCTAATCTCGTGACAAGCCTACAACCAAGCCCAGCTGGACCTGGGGTTCTCGATTGTGCTGGCATTGTGATTGTTTGAAACTGAATTCCAGACCCATCTCCCTGCTGCTGCCATGCCATAAAAGGACAATTTTTATATCAAACTTATAAAGCATTTGTCATCCTCTAGATTTTAAAGAATTTTAGCAAGTGACATGTGAGTTTAGAATGTCAGGAAAGAAATAAACTTTAAAAATGCCTTCTAGCTTTTTGACTCCAAAGGACTTGAAGCAAGGAAACAACAACAATCACATCCTGTTTTGTCACTTATTCATGTGCCAGTGACCACTACCATTCCTTCAGCCTTTCTGTCCATAATCCCAGCTGTTCTCATCATTAATTAACCCAAATATGCTGGCTCTATTTAGAACCTCTGTAGCTATAATTCAGCTCTTAATACCGATAATTAATCATACCTTCTTGAAATTCATCTCTCCACTGGAAATCGCACTGGTAACCAGACCTTGCTTTTCCCTTTTGCTTTTGTCTTTTTCTGTATCTATTATATTTAAATTGTTTTAACTTTTTTTACAAGTATAAATACTCTATGGATATAGGCTGAAAAGTAAAAGTAAGAGGCAGGCAGAAAAATTTAATTCAAGGAACTGAATTTTCAAACTAACTGAGTGGGGATTGGAAAGGTTTTGTGGGGTTTTTGTTGTTCTAAGTACTAAAATGCTCCATAATATTTGGTTCATTTCTCTGTTTCACAGATAATGTTTTATCAAGAAAAGTTAAGAGATCAAATAGTTTACAAAAGTTTAATGACCAACTGTGTTTAGAATTGCTCATTATCTGTACAGCAAAGTGGGAAACTCAGAAGGGCTAGTTTTTAAATTAACTACCTGAACCATGTGATCTAGCAAAGCCTCCAAAAAATGAAAAGTATGTTTAATCTGGTAATGACTTTTTTGATCTTTTACTACCAAAGCAACATAATTAGTTGGGTTTTCTGAAAAGTTTCTCTCTGAAATCCACTTAACTTTACTCTCAATAACATGCAAAAATTCTCCCTTAGACCTCTACAGCAAAAATTTAAGGCTGAGATTTTTAAGTTCAGTAAAGCCCAGGTGCCCAATGCCTACTAGTTGCAACAAATGGACTTTCCCAAAAGGCCAAGCCCAACGTGTTGTTTTCCAGTACTTTGAATTAAAGACACATTTTGAATTTACTGTGGTTGTAACTGCAATGACAGGAAGCTGTGATGTTTACAACAGAACTCAATAATTTATTTTCAGCATTGAATTTTCCTGACACCTTGATATTCCTCTTCTCCCCCACCCCTCATCTGCTTTAGCTCTTGAAAAGAGCCAGAAGGATCAATGCAGAGAGTGGCACCTTCAGCCTTTGGCCCATCTCCCTGCAACTGAGGTTATTTTATATATATATATATATATATATAAAATATGGCAGGGGGCAGCTTTCCATATGCAACATCAGAATATCTCCTGTTGTACCACACTTCTATCCAGGCCTGCCAAGGGCTGGGGTTTTTGGGTTGGGATGTGGTTTTTGTACTTAGCTTGGGGGCCAGGGCGTGTTATTGGTACTGCAGAGAATGGATAACCATGGTTAGTCAGTGTTTGAACACCTCAGTCATATCATTAACTCACATCATTAACTTACTTTCCTAGATGGTGTGGGGCAAAGGTTTCCTTTGTACTCTTAATCCAGTGCCTGTTTTGGAGTTACTGTGTGATGCTGGTGCTGTGATATTGATGTCTTTTACACCATAACTTATTCTGCCATTCCTAGTTATTCTATGGTGGAGTTTTTTGGGGTTGGTTTCCTTGGTTTTTTTTATCTTAGTGGAGCTGGCTTGCTCTCAGCTTCATTTATGGCCTGTAATTAGCTGTAGGTTTTCAGTAGCTTTATATGGACCTATAGTTAGCTTGGAGTCTTAGCATCATAATTCAAAGTATTCTATCCTTAGCTCTCCTAATAGCTTCTCATAAATGAGTTCATATATGTGTCACTTAATAATTATACATAATATATATTGAGAAAACCTGGCAATATAGCCACTCAGCTTCTCCTAGACTCTCCATTGAAAATAGTTTTATTCTTTGCAATTTTGGGGGAGTGGTCTGGAGGTTTTGAGTTGGGTTTTTGGTTTCGGTTGTGTTTCAGTTTTGCTTATTTGGATTTTTTTAATGATCCTGCTAATCTGTTGTTGTTAAATCCAGATGATGCTGGTACATGTGACAACCACTGAATGTTAGTGAAGTTATATCTGTGCTCTTACTTTACTTCAGTTCAGCATCACTATGAGCTGGTAATTTTCCCACTTGCAATCACTGCTGCAGAGAGTTAATGCAATATTTCCATATTTTCAATACTCCACTTGGATCCAACTCACAGGTACTTTCAACACTGGTGGAAATTGCTGCCCAGTTCTAATCTGAATGCTTACCTTCAGCACATCATTTGGGGCAACTGTTTTGAATGGTAAAGCTTCCTGCATCAAAAGAAATCATGTGCATGTTTGTGTGTGGCCCTCACTTCTTTGCTGTCTAGAAAACACATCCATGTGCCATATTACATCAGTTTTTATGTTTAAACAGTCCCCATAAAACTCTCACCTAACAATGGTCATGAGCTGCAGAGCTCCAATCCATAGCTAAGATCAGCATATCTCATAGCTGAAGAGTTATTCAGATTTTGTTTGGTCCCATCTCAGAAAAGTCCATGCTAAGGGAAATTTTCCACCTTTTTTCTGCTGCCACTCTCCCAGAGCATTTACGATGTTTGCTTACCTTGGGAGTCAGGAGGGAAGCGGTCTTTCCAGCCAAGCTGCTGTCTTAGCCTTTAATCAGTTGTTGGGAGGAGCCATAGTTAAAACTCTAACTTTTTTCCTAGATTGATGACTTCCTGGCTTTCCTTCATTCTTTGTTTCTTGCTTACAATCCAAAACACGTGCTTTTGGATCCACTGAAAAGTAGAGGGCTTTGGCGGCCTATGCAGCAAAGACTAAGGACACTTCAGCAGACTTCAACTTAGGAGCTAAAGAGAACAGCAAAGGCTAATCAGAAGACTGCTTTTATCAAAATTTTTCTAGTCTGTAGTGGTGAAAGACTAAAACATATAATCTGATCAACAACTTTAAAAGCCTAATGGATTATCTTTCTTTGAAGCTTTTTCCAAAACAGTCCTTTCCAAAGGCACAGGATAACTTTAGAAACTGCAGACAAACTTCCTAGAGCTCCATCTAATCTGCAGCAGTGCTAGTACTTACTCTATCTTCTTTCTGTTTTGGGCTAGAAGCGGCATTTCTGCAGAACACTCAGCATAATTTTCTATGCTCCACCAAGGCACTTTTACTGCCTCTGAAACTACCCTCTGGGACCAGGTCACTGCTTTAGCATGACAGGCAAGACCTTCTTATTGGCAGATATTTGGCTTAACATAAGAAAATACATATTCCATCAGATAACGGTGATAATCATAAACTTGGGGAAATAGCTGAGGGGGGATAATAAAAGGTTTCTAAGTAAGTGGAAGAAAATGTCTTTTCCACTGAAAGATATATACTTTTTACCAGAAATTACCTAACTCTTCCCAGTCTTTAACCAGAGTAGCCACAACCCAAATCCATTGCCTGCACCATTGTCTCCGTCCCTAAATCCAGGCACAACCAAAGGCAATGAGGAACAGCTACTATGATCAGTCCTACAGAGCCACATTTTCTCAGCTGCTCTGCCTTCTGCTCCAGTACTGCCCTCAGGATCTCTGCACTATGTTCCAGTACATAACGTAGATAGGTAGAAAATCATCACACTGCCTCAACCTAAAGGGGAGGCTTTTCCAATTTAGGATCATTGACTGGTTTTTGTCCCAAATGTTTGTTTCCCTTGTCCCTTTTTCCCCAACTCAAAAGTTGGAAACATTGTCAGGAATACATTCCTTCAGAAAAGGACAAGATAAGGCCCTTATCTGTAAATCTGTAATCTGTAAATATACAGTGCCACTAAATCTAGTGACCTCCATAAACTCATGAACACATGCAGCTCACAAGGATGCTTTTTAATTCAGCTGATTACAGGGCACGTAAACAGACACATAATGCTTAAACTGTGTGTACACATGGGTGTAGATTTTAAGGATGGAAGAGAACCTAAAAAATTCTTAAATTATACAAGTATTTTAACCAGGTTTTACAAACTACTTTCACTTTGGACTTGGGCCCAGTGTAACCATATTATGATTTCTTGGCATGAAACTACAGCTCTGATGGTCTAATTCTTCTGTAAATGACTAACACTTTACCAAAAACTTTTGTTTAAGCACAGAAGAATGGGTGACCTTCAAACAAATCATTTTTCAGTACCTGAGAACCTGGCTAGGAACAGCATAGGAAGCACATGGAACTGGGCATTGTACCACGAACACCATCCCTTCCTTTTATCCTGCTCCTCATTCCATCCTCAGCCCCTCTCTGATTGGTGTCACTGCAGGGAAGTATCTCCACCTTATTCTTTGTGAGAACAAAGGGCTTCGCTACGTGTTTGCAAGCCAGTTTACTTCTTTCAGCTTTTCAAAGTGGTTCACCAGGTGGTGCTTTTCTTGCCAAAAGGGACTCTAAACTCGGCTCTTGGGTTCCTGTTGACTTCCAGACTCACTGGGAACTGGATGATGCTGGATGCCCTCAGAGTTCTGAGTAACGCAAAAAGATGCATCCTTGGTTACTAAATATTTGTTATCTACTATCACCCTTTAGCTGCTCATTGGTAGAATAGATAAGTAATAGGCAAATGCTTAGGGGAATGCCAAACAGGAAAACAAACATTTCCACATTTATGTGAGTTGTTTCCTTGCTCACAAAAGCCTAGGTTTCAAATACTCTGTTAGCATGGAGTTTTGCTATTAATGCTGGTGCTTTCTGAATATGAGTCAAATAGGCTTTGCACTATAGTGGGAAAGTGTGTCGGTCTGGAGAGGGAGGCAAATATATTGGAATTAACACCTACACAATTCAGAAAACATATTTCCTCCAAACCATCAATAGCCTTGCACATTGGCAGCTTCTCTGTCAAAAAGTTGACTGTTACAGGGACAGCTACTGACTGCCAGTCAGCTCAAATCTATCATGAGCTGCTGGATGAGACGAGGTGGCATTCTCCACTCCCTGAGAATCTGCTGAAGCTCCAGATTTCAGTGTAGTGCTGCTTCTGCTGGGCATCAGCACTCTGCTTTGACTCCTCCATATGCAATGAGTTCCTCAGTTACCTTCCTTCAATGCTAATTAGTCAAATTCATATGCAGTGCTGCTGAATGAAGCAGCTCCAGGTACAGGCTCTGTGGAGATGACTTCGCCCTCAGAAAATAGTCCAGATTTCAATCAGACTGTGTGAGTTAGAGCAACTGTGTGGCTTAGGTGGCCATTGATAGTGACCTTGGTGGGAGACTGTCCTAACAGCTTGGGATCTTGCTCAATGTTACTTCACCTGTTGGGCATCCACATGAAAAAAACAGGGAATACTTACACAATTGTGTGATCCTTCAACACCAGGCTACCTGGCTGTGAAATGCAGAGGATAGCAAAAGCTGCACTTAGATAATAAGTATATTAACTATTAAATGCATCCCCTGCAGCATGATGTTCTTTCCAATAAAACAGGCAGCAACAAAACCAGATTGCTCTGGATAGGGAGTGTTCAACATCCCAAACTGGATTTTGGCAGGATGAACATCACAAATAGCAACAGGCCCCCTCTTGTAAAAAAAAAAAAAAAAAAAGAAAAGGCATTAAATTGTTAATGCCACTATATAATCAGAGCTTTGATCTTGATTCCAAGAAAAGAAACCTCAAGCCAGTAGTTGAAATCACTACAGCCAACACAGGCGTTGGTTTAATAAATGCACTGAATAAGCCTCATGGTGCTGTCTGGTGCTAGCTCTCCCACTCTTCTTGGCCTAAGCCTACCTACTCTAATTGACAAGATCTAAAAGCCTTGGACTTCATTGATCATCAAAGACCCTCAGGGTTTTTAAATGCATTCTAAAAACAGATGAGAACCTTCCATTCTCCAAGAAAGGATGTCCCATGGCAGACCCTAGCCATCACTCCCCTTGCTTCCCAAGCAAATCTGAAATGATTACAACAAAATTTGCTTTGGTATCAATTTCCCAAATGGATGGCTCTGTTTGGAGCTCTCATTCTTTCACTGACATGTTACATGTCAAATCCTAAATGTTCCAAATCTTACTTTTATGAAAACAAATTAATTTTCTTGCTATTTCTTGTGTGAGAGCATGTAGAAACTTGTCTAAGCATCCTTCAGACAGTTAAGAAATGGCTTCCAGGACTATACTTTTAGGGTATGTGGGGTTCTGTTAAACAGCCTTTACACCACTCAGCGGCAAGGGCAACTGAGTGACAACAATGAAGGGAAAGACTCAACAAGTCGAGGAATTGAAATGACTGGGATTACAGCAAAAGTTAAGTACTGCATGTCTTCAGTATTCAGGCCTTAAGTAACAGCTTTGCTTTTGCTGTAAATGATTCCTTGCACAGGTTCTGCTCTTCTTTTTGAGCTTCTGGTTTGTGGTGTATTTCAGAAAAAGGGTTCTATCAAAGGAGACCTAAAAAAGTATAAAATCAGGCCACTGCTTATGTTTATTATGTGAGAGGCAATTTGGGCATTTCTTTGCTGTAATCCACCCTCATTACATAGTGATATTTTCCCAAATTACTTTGGCTGCTTTAGGTGTCTATTTTTATGTTCCCTGCACTCACATCTGTTTCTTTCTTATCAGCAAATATCTATTCATTGGTCCTATCTAACTATTTTACATCTATCTGAGTTAAAATGTGTGTCACTCATTAACTCAGGGTTTGTACATAAATTAGTCTCCTGTATCTCCTGTAGCAGTCTTATTATTTCTGCTTATTGCATCACCTAAAAATAAAATTATTTTTCATTTATAGCAGATATCTGAATTTGTATCCCTTAACTATTTCTCAGCTCAATCAGTCAATTTTTGCAATTAGACTGTGTTTGAAGTCCTGTGAGTTTGACAGAGTGCTTGTAGTCAGAACATTCTGTTTCCAAACTTGATGGGTCTGGGGAGTTTCCTGTCTGGAGTTTGTTTGTTTGTTTGTTTGTTTGTTTGTTCTTTGTGCAAGAAGGTTTCTGACTATTTTGTCAGAACTTTGAGAATTATTTAGATAGAAAACTCACAGGTCTACAAGCCTGGATTGTATTACCCTTAACTCTGTAATGAAAATCCAGCATCTAGAAGACAGTTTGTATTTAAATATGATTTTTTAGTATGCTACTTGTTGTTGTTTCCTGTTCTAGAAATGTAGTTGAGAGATAATCTTTAAGCAGTTTTGCTAGCTGCTCTGTAATGATGATTTCTCAGAGTACTAAAATATTCCCTATGTATGTATATTCACACTGTTTTTTCACACAATTTAAAAATCTTTCCACACATAATAAAATTTTCTGTAATAAAATAAGATGTTCATGGCAAAGCATTATATTATACAGAGAATGCACAATTGCAAAAATGAAAGGTAACCTTGATCATCTAAATTAGGTCTTGAAAATTAATGCTGATCTGCAGTCTTTGCCCAGGAGAAATGTAATAAGTCTTCACAAATGGTTGCATCAGATTTCTAGCATTTTATCTAAGTAAGTATGTAACTCTACCCCAATTGAATTATTAAATACTTAGCACTCAAATATGGGCTTGCAATGGGGAGCATTTAATTTGTTTCAGTTACCTGTACAAATAATTCTAATCTACAGATCAGTTGCCCTGGTTTGAATAATGTACATATTTAACACAGCAAAATGCATGTGTCTAAACTTGGCTTGCAGTGTTGAAGCAGCTTATTTAGACAGACAGATATTTGATGGATATTTAGTATCTCAGGTGTGTTTATTACACTAATTCTATTACATTTATAATACTAATTCTATTTAGTTAAATGTGCAGTTTTTTCCAGCAGATACACAAAGAATATTAGTATCATGTCTGAGAAAACTACCTGTAAT